ACCCAGAACTTGGCCTTGTTGAACCTCATGGAATTGGCCTTGGCCCATCAATCCAGCCTGTCCAGATCCCTCTGTAGAGCCTTCCTTCCTTCCCTCAAGCAGATCAACACTCTCGCCCAGCTTGGTGTCGTCTGCCGCCTTACTGAGGGAGCACTCAATCCATTGCATTGGGCTGTCGTCCTTACAGGTGACACTTCTGGGGACACAGTGCTGAGCTTTGCTGGAGAAAAAGCTCCAAGGAGCCACATACACGAGCAAAGAAGGACAAAAATGCTGCCGTTGCACAAACCATAAGAGAAATAGTGGAGGCAGAAAAGTGCTTACAGAGCAGCCTGGAAGTGAGGGGTGTAGGAGATGAATGGAGAGGACAAGAAAATCACCAACCTTATGGATGGTATTTTTTCTGCAGAAGAATGGGAGCCAGAGCCAGAACAGCTGTATCCTGCCACCGCTGTGTGGTTCAGCCTGCACATATGCCATACCACAGGCAGCTATGATTTGCTTCAGATGAAGTTTCCTACATTACAGGATTCAGTGTTCACATGAAGAAGGCTGAGTCAAAACTGCCCGAAGAGCCTCAAATGCATCAGTGAAAGGACACAAGAAAGAGAAACCTTTGCTGCTTAGCAAGGGGACCAAGGTACGATGGCAGAGACTGCAAGAGACAGGCCAAATGTACAAAGATTTGAACTGAACCTCCAGAACGGCTGCAGCAAGCCTCCCTGACACAGGCAGGGCCCAACAGCAACACCAGAGAGTTGGCAGGAAGCCCCCATGCCGATTCACAGAATCGTACCCACTGTCCTCCTCCATGGGCCCCTGCGAGGCTCAGCTGTGACCTGGCCTCCAGCTCAGGCTGTACTCTCCCGACGCCAGCTACAACCCTTAGCCCAAGACCCACAGCCCCAGCCCAGCTCAGCCCCGACCCCTGCCTCTAGCCACACAGCTCAGCCAGATTTTAAAAAGAACTTTATTGAAGCTCCGATATATATTATTTTTGGCCTCTAAATACCCAAGTGTCAGCACCTATTCCTGGCTCTCCAGTGCTACTCTGCAACCCCCAGCACTGAATCTTTCAGTGCTAGATTTTCTGCTTGACTCCTACAGAAGGAAGAAAAATTTTCAGATGCCTCAGGCATGGCTTTAGAAGAGCGACCGCTAACATGGTGGCCAAGTGCTGGAGGTGATGTTTAGTTGGTATCCATGCCATCACACTCTTCTTGGGGAGGAGATGGGGCAGTATGTTCCTCACTGTTTCGGCGCTGATAAAACAGCACATACGCAGCTTTTGTCTACCAAACAAAGAAGAAAACCATCTGAAACAATCCACACAGCTTGGCTGGAAATGTAACGTCCAAAGCAGGGAACCACACTTTCAGCACAAACTCAGATTAGCCTCAGGCCGAATACTCACCACTATTTGGTCTTCTGAAGCCACGGATACACTGCTGTCATCAAAGTAGTACCACTTGTCATTCACTTTGTTCTTGGCGTAGGCGGTGTCTGTCAGGAGAAGAAACTGCAGCTCAGTACTCCAAGGAAGACCAGTAGGTTACGCCACGCCAGCTGCGCTGCACCAGCGATGCTCAAGACTCAAACTGAGTGTGCACGGGAGGCCAGGAGCTAGCTTTGACATGAATTACCCCAAACCTAGTTCACCAACATACACATCTTCCAGACCATGCTAGCTGGTCCAGCTAGTCTAGAACAACATCCCACATTCCAGACTTACCCCTGATAGCTGAGATATAGGGCTAAGAAACTTAGGAAAAAAATTACAATGCTTTGTTCACCCCCCTTGAGCCAGAGCTTTCGCAAACACACAGTTTAAGACTCTGCATTTTCATATTTTTCACATGAAAGAGAAGTTTTCTGCTGGTGGTAGATCTGATCTAGTGCTTGCTAGAGTCCTCACTCAAGAAGGAAGTTGGAATAAAGTCCTGCAAAGTCTCTTCTAACCAAGACTTCTGTGACTATGATCTCCAATCTCAAAACATATCCCCCTTCAGCTAATGCTATCCTACAGTGACACACCCTACGAGCTGAGCACATACACTGCCAAATGAGAGTTCATCATCCTCTCATAGTAAAATGCTTCTGAGTGGTTCTAGAAGCGTCACCTACAGCATGGATCTGCACGGGTACCTGATACAGGGATCTCCACCTACAGATGCATTTCATCCATGCTACAACAAAACCAGTGACAGAAAATACAGACTTGTCATGTATCAGTCTTGTCATATATAACAAAGGGTTTTTTTCTCCTGATGGCATGACGTTTTCCCTGCTATGTGAGCCCTTGTCAGTGCAAAGGCAGAGACATTCTACTGCAAGCTTGCCAGCTATGCAACCGAGAAGTCCCAAGAACTACACATTTGTTTGTGACTTGTTTTAGAAAAAGTCTGGAACAAAGGAAAATGAAAGAAGAAAAAAAGTGCTTTAAATTGCTATTGCAGCAAACAGAGTTTAGGATAGGAAATGCAGAAAGGCATCAGACCCAGCTTCATAACAGCTTCATAACATGCCCTCTGCTCTGTCTTCCTGGCCTATGGGTGACTGCTGCTCATCAGACCTTGTCTCACCACCACTGAGGGAACCTAGCAAGCTCCGGCTGGGCTGGCTCAACTGCTGGCAATCGCTGCTCTGCAGCTGTGATGCTGCACCCACACTGCACAAGCAGCTGCCCTCTGGCATGCTGCAGGGCAAGAAGCTGAGTCTTGGCACTGAACTTACAGTTTATGCTGAAGACTCTCCCCAGCACTCTCCAGTAAGAAGCTCCTTTCCACAATGTCACGTTTGGCATCAAAAAATCTTGACTCCACTCAAATTGGGGAACACCATCACACACTCCAATGACTACTAACCAAGGTCCCACAGGCATCAGAGTCAGACCTCAGGCAGCTGCAAACTACAAAAACGGACTAGCTGCTCTGCAAATCCTAACAGGAAGGACATTACCTTCCAATATGATATTCACCTGCATACAGAACAGACAGGTTTTGGACTGGACACCCTTGGTGAGGGCTGCTGCACGTCTCCAACACACAGAGCCCTCCCATGACCCCTCTGCTCACGTTTGCTTGCACACAAAGGACAGAGAAGCAGTTACTCACAGTGGCCTACTCCCATGGCTCCATAGTGATTGGAAACTGCAATGAGGTCATACACGTATGAGCCTGCTCTTGGGTCGCAGACAAACTCAGACATGTTTAAACCCCTGGAAGGAAATCCAAAATTATCAGTACACCAGTAATCAGCACTTTCTAAAAAGTGATACACGACACCAGTGAAGCTCTGCAGGCAGGCAGCACTGGTGGAGAAGTGCTGCACTCTGCTGCTCAACGGCCAGATGTTATTAGTGTAAAGACCAGACATGTTACCCCTCCCACACAGGGCAGGTCCCAGTAAACACATCAAGCACTGCCAAAAGATTTAGAGGGAGGTGCTGAATAAAAGACAGGTCAGAGTGTCCCTGTGTAGGCATGAAAAGTGAGATAGGAGTAGTAAGGAATATACTTCATCCTGCAGCAGGATGCTGACAAGCAGAAACAGAGGATGAGGCAGGCTTTCATCTTGTACTTGTGCAATCCTCAGTACTACAAATGCAGCTCTGCCCAACAAATTTGCCAAATTCTCTGCAGAAGTTAGCAGAATCACATGGTTTTAACCTAATTTCAGAAGAAACAGTACCTCCTAGTAACTAGTGCTCTTTGAGATGTGTAGGACTGATTAAGGTTAAGAGTAACACACACACACACAAAAAGAAACAACCAAACCAAACAAAAAAAAAAGAAAAAAACATCTCAACTCATGCCTGTTGTCTTGCAGTTCAAACCCGGAAGACAGAGCTGTTCCAGTTACAACTTCAATAACAAGCCCACCCAACAGTAACATCAGAAGTAGATTTCTCTTGACCAGCTTCTTCAAGGTCTTCCTAGCTTGAGGGAAGAATCCTACCTGATAGGGAATTCCACAACAGTGTCAAGTTTATCCCTCCAGTATCTGCTGTATGAGAAGCGTTTTAAATGCACTACCAAAATCCTGGGCAAAGACCACAAGTCAAACTTCTTTGTGGCCTGTTGATGTTTCTTACAGTTAGGGCAGTACCTGAGGAAGGAGTAACAAACAAGCAAATGAATGATTACGTTAGAAGAAAAGCTTCTGCCCTTCCATTAAAAGATGCCTCAATAGCACAGTACAGTCCCTGCCTTATGGAAGGCATTTCGGCTGTGGAATATGCAGGTGAACACACTTCCTCAGAGGTTTCCAAACTGCAACTTGCTTTCACTTTATAGGCAAAATGTCTTACGGCATGTGCATTAACTGAACATTGTACAAAGATTAATTTTTCTTTTGTAAATTAAAAAAAAAGGTTTAAAGGTCTCATTACTTCTTTATTGTCTCCTGATGCAGCTCAAACGGCTAACAGTTGCAAACACATCTCTAACATGTAATTGGGAATTAATAATAAACAATCACCTACTACACTATAAGTTATTTTCTTACACAGATAGCAAACAACCTCCAAAGATCTTGCACACACAGAGTAATCACATTTTGGTCACTGAGGATCTGCTGTACCTAGCCCCTCTGGACTAGGGATTTTTGGTAGAGTTAGGAGTGGGTCAGGACTGGTTCAAGCTAGAAGTAATACAGGATTAAACCCTAAGGTAGCCACATGCTTTCACTCTTTATTTCCACAACTGCTTCCTCTGATACTGTCTGGAAGACAGATGTATGCTGAGGAATTAAAAATAGCCTGATCTTTGGAAGCTACATGCCCACTGCCGCTTTTTTTTTTTTTAATGAAGGTAGGAAACAAACACTTTTTATTAACCCACATCTGCAGCCTATTGAGTCAGTGACTTAAAACAGAACTGATAGACTTCTCACAGATGAAGACAAAAGGACAGACCTGGGAAATTTTCAGAATCCCATGGCAAATAATGTGAACTCAAATAGTTATGGCGTTTTACGATAAACATGGCAGGCAGACAGAGGCTCTTACCATGGGTCATGTTCACCAAGCGTTTCCATAGTAGTGAAGAGCTCTATGCAGTCTCTGAGGGCTACCACAGCTTTCTTCTTCTGTGGCTGTAATGTACTTCCATGTTTTTCAAACGCCTAGTGAAAGAGATGCATGCTTTATTCAATTCTACGTAGTCTTTAATCCTTGACATCGGGAAAAGGAACACGCTCACCTTCACCATGCTGCCTATTTCTGTCCCCCCCCTTCCCCACCCACACAATCGTCTCAAGCTTCCAGCCACTCCTTTCTTGTGTTGCGAACAGTCCGTAAGAGAAAATATAGTATGTCCTCACTTCAAAATTGGTGGGGTTTGAGTCTTTTGCAAAATAGTAATAGGTTATTCTGTTACAAATTGCAAAAGAGTAATAAGTTATTCTGTTACAAAACATGATCCAGCAGAACTCTCACAGAAAGAATACTGAGCTTTCTACCAGGCTCTATGAATTTGGTTTCAGGTTTCTTTCGAGTTTTGGGGGTTGGGTTGGTTGGGTTGAGTGAACTATGAACCAGACTACTCAGCTTTGAAATTAAAACATCTACTTTTCAGAACACACTGGAAACAGATCAGCAATTATAGATCTATAGACCTTATCACTAAAAGATTTTAAGTAAACATATCTCATGCTGGTGACTCCAATTTTTATGAAGGGAGCTACACCTACATTTCACCATTTACTGTAATCTTTCAAGTACCATGCAAGTTTACATATAGGTTATTTATGAAAAGAGCCTATTACAACCTGTGCCTCCTGTTCATCAAAAAGTAGCCTCCGTGTATCAGAATCCCAGTCAATAGCAAGCGCAGAAAAAGCTACAAGAAAGAAGAAACATTTATTGCAAAGGTGTAAGAAGAAGGAAGAAAAAAAGATAGCAAGACAATAATTACCATTCAGTTTTAAGATTTTTCCTTCGACAATGGAGTTTATCTCAGAGGTCCCAGAAGAATTCACGAGGCTAAAAGTGAAATGCTGCTTCTTGCAAGGCTGCAGGTCTCTTGCTGACTCGATCTGCATACAACCCTCAGAGTGGCAGGGATCAACTTCTGCCAGCTTTTCCTTGCCTTCCTGTCCACCATCCTGATGCTCCATCTCTTCAATGACACCTGGCAAAATTTAAAACAAACACAATATTAAAGAGCTTCAGTGAAAGTTTAGACTGACACCTCACATTGACAGCTGTTTGCATGAGCCTGTTACGACACACACTGATTACTCAGAAAGTAATGAAAAGACATGCAGAAGAAGAAATCTGTGCTTGCTAACCACTACATCTGAAGTTGTATTTTTTCCTTTAGCAGGTGCCAGGTAGTGTGCTGGGTTTTATACCCTACTATCAGACATGAATGGAGAGTGCTCAGTTCACAGTAGGTTAACAATCACACCTTCTGACAGCACACCCTAATAAACATCCCAAGAGAGAATCAGCAAGCTTGCAGTTGGGTGTCTTTACAGAAGGGAATATGTAAGTCTCCAGGAAAGTTATTTCCATTCTTTGGGCAAAATGGGCAGATTTTTTTCCCCATTTAAAATTTCTCATTTGACTTGTTCCAGTTGTTACTCTCACAGCAGCACAAGTCAATCATTTCAAAGAGGAAAGGGAAACATGCATTTGCCATCAGCGTTAAAAGCTTCCTTGTAAGTATCTAACCTAGGAATGGAGACATCGTGATTCTAGGTCCACGAATAGAAAATACCATTTCCGCTTTACTTCTCCAGAGCTTGTCTTTGTGACCAGCAGGCCAGTTTTCATCACCAAAGGGCATATTAGGAAAGGAGTTGCCTCTGGAGGGAGGCACCTGAACACCTAATAGGGAAGCAAGGTCTTCCCTAACATTGGTCAAGATGAATGCACACCACACCTTGTTCTCCTGCTGCTGCTTACACACATCTGATCTCCCTTGGAAGGAAAATGGTCTACAAAAATTCTCACCATATCATGCAGAAGTCCTATGCAATAGCATGGTTTAATCATTGTCAAAAAACAATCTGCTAGAGCTTAAGCCAAATACAGACAGCACAAACCAAAGACTAACAAAAAGCTTTAAGTGCTGAGAAGCTTCCAGCCAATTTTGAAAGGACCTTACCTTCAACCACACCATTGGAGCCATTGCAGGTTCCTTTGTCTGGGCAGGGTGTAGAGTATTCTTCCACCAAAGGGAGTTTCACATAGCGGCTAAAGAGAGGGAATATGTTTACCACATAATCAATCATACCGAAGCTGTACATCAGAACAACAGCACCCCTCTCCATCACCAGTTCTTGTTGTCCAGTCCCCCTCAGCAAACTGGAACCCATCCTGTACAGCACCATTTACAGGCCAAAAGCTCTCAGAATGAGTCAAACAACAATTCAGTAAGTCTCTGTTCTCACTGCTTGTTCCAAGTTTTACTGGCAGTAGATGCAAAAGGCAAAAGTAAGTTACGGTGGCCTGATCTGAGAGCCCTGAAAACAGCCTGAGTTCTGCTCCTGACCCGTTTTGCAACACCAAGCAGATAGCTTCCCTTGTGACCACCACCAGCATTATCTTACAGCCTGCTTTTACAGAGCCCAGAAAACCAGGACTTTGAAATGTCCCTGGGACCTCTAGACACTAATGCAATGCAAATCCCGGTTTATACACCACACGCAAATCAAGGAAAATTCTTCCCGTTAACAAGAATGCAGTAATTCTATTACAGTGTAACTGATTAAGCGACCACTAGAACTTTGCATAGGATTCAAAGGTACAGACATGACTTACCTGATCTGCTCCAAAACCACACTGTACAAGTGATCCACAGTGAGCTTGTGTTTCGGCACAGATATTAATAGTGGCTGACCAAAGAGTACGGTCCCTGAAGTATTGCTGGATTGCCTCATTGTCTTTTCCCGAAAGTAAACAGAGAGAGTAACATACTCCAAGCCATCCTCACTTGGCTTGCAAACTTCGTATCTGTTTGAAAGACAGGTATTTCCACAGGTTATTTCCATTGCCAAGAAGCACAGCCAGGTAGAACCAATATGAACTCAGTCCAACAAGTCTCTCCACCAGGTCCCCCTGAGAAGGACAAAAAGGGTTGTACTCTGTCTTCATGCTACAGAAGAGTTTCCTGAACACTTCCCATGGCTCACAACAGCATAGGATACATACCTACCACCGACTCAACTGTCACCATCCCTCTGGCTTTACTCCTAATTCACATCCCTATTGCCACTCACCTCTCAAGACATTACCCTGACAACTACATGTCATTTCAACCAGATCACAGTGTCAGTGAAAAATACTAAATGCACTTTGAAATCCCTCAGACAGTGTTTGTTCCCTCTGGAGAAAGAAACCCTCTTGATACCTTGGATCTTGCATTCTCCCAGCCTCTCGTACAGTTAATGGCCTGAGCTCACATCACTGAGCAGCCACCGATTCAGAAAACCAAGAGTTTGGAAAGATCTGCTTCACGGAAAAATCCAGGGACAGTAAATACACATGAAAAACATTCTGGAAGAAAACAAACAGCTCTGAAGAGCAGTGAGGAGACTGAGACACAGCTTGTGGTACTGGGCAAAACAGCAAATGAGATATTTGCAGATGTCAGAGTCAAAAGAAACCACATGGTCCAACACTATCACATTGTTCGCTTCAGGACTATTCTGCTTCACGGAAAAATCCAGGGACAGTAAATACACATGAAAAACATTCTGGAAGAAAACAAACAGCTCTGAAGAGCAGTGAGGAGACTGAGACACAGCTTGTGGTACTGGGCAAAACAGCAAATGAGATATTTGCAGATGTCAGAGTCAAAAGAAACCACATGGTCCAACACTATCACATTGTTCGCTTCAGGACTATTCATTACAATGGAATGCCAAGTCACACTGCTCTTTAATTTGGTGATTCACCTGTCCCAGACTTATCTTAAAACTGAAAGAGAAAGATTTCATGAAAGATGTCACTACTCCTAACGACCAAGACCACAATCACATATCTGAATGTACCAACTCTTAACAGTTCTCTTACATTAGACAAGCCACTTCCCTTCTCTCAAGAGCCAAGAAACACTTTTATTCCTGTGTTCAAAATGCCCTTGTAGAGCAGGGAGGAAAACAAATTTCAGGGTTGTAGTTCTGCTCCAGCCTACTTAAACAAAAAGGGATCCCAGCTTGGGGCCTGCATTGAGTCAGTAGAGTTCACAAAGAAAAATATCCTTCCAGAGAGTCCCAGCCCAGCCCATCAAGAGTATTAGAGATCAGAGTCAGTGTAAGACAGTCCAACGCAAATGGCTGTTGAGGTTTTCTAGGCTGTCAATGCTATTCAGCTGGACACCAGCACTGGACACAGTTCACACCTTCTAAAGTTTCCTGAGAAATAGCACCACAAAGAGGTGGATTATTTTACTTAGCACTGTTCAAATAACAAAAGACCATACTCAGTCCCAGAATATCATCTACAATTAAGTCCAGGTCCTATGAGACCCTTAAGCCGGTCTCCCATAAAACAGATCAGTACACAACATGCACACGTTCCTCAACGTTCTTGTGACTGCCCCTCACACCACCTACACTGTGCTCTGCAAGCAGCAATTAATGCAGCCCCCATTTATACTCCATCCTCATGCACCTGAATGAAGCCCTGCCCACGTGACAGAACAGATGGGACAGAAAGAAAAAGCTAAGTATTACCCATATGCAGGTGTCATCCATCACTAACAGACAGCATGCTGTACCCCTATAACACTCTGCAAAAGAGCATCTCGCACATTTCTCACTGAAACATAAATTCGGTTACTCAAGTGCCCCTCTACTCAACTCCAACTCAGAACAGCTTTTACATACTACTTTACATTAGAGGCAGACATATCAGAATCAGGATCTGTCACTTTCTGAATCTCTAGGGCAACAGCCATCCTTCTAAAAAAAAAAAAAAAAAAACAACGAAGATAAAATACTTTATCTATGGTTTAAGGAAGGCTATAGAGCTGATACTGGGAATTACTGGACAATACACTGTAATTCTGATTCTTACAACTTAATTGAAATAACAGAACGAAAAGATGATGCTACACCAGACTACACAACATGGTTTCAGAAGTCAGAGTCATTAGCTCAGCTGCTACCACACTGCTGGATATTGCCTGCTTGCCTTTATAATTCATGACAACTCTGAAAAGCATCTGAAAACTGCTAAGCAATAGGGTAGGACTTGACCAGTCTTCATCAGCATTATGAAGGCTTCAGGTCTGTGGTTATAATTCAGAAAGGAGACAGTGAGCAATGAAGTAGGTAGCTTTTGTTGCCTTGCAAACTGAAGTTAAGCAAGCGCACAGCAGCATGAAAAGCTACAGAAAGACAAGGCAGAGCTACGTGAAAGGGCACTGAAAGCAAAAAATACTCTGAGCTAAACACCACCCTCCCCAGTGCTGGGATCTATGATATTAATTCCAACTGGAAGCTGGAAAACACTATGTGAATCACAAGTCAGTCTACAGCAACAACCAAGAGAAGAAGTGTATTTTGTAAGAGAACAGAGAAGGGTAGAAAAAAATGCCATTGCAGAAGCTGACAAACAGATCCGTCTGCACAGGATTGCTACTGCACACCAACCCAGAGATGCTGCTGTGAAATTACAATAGGTTCAGAAGTTGACAATAAGAATGAACAGAGGACTAGAAAAAACCTGGGTGAAAATGCTGCACATATTATCATCTCTTCTAGGAAGTGGAAATACTCCTAATCTGTTTACATTCTTTCATAATACCAGAACACATACAAACAAGTAAACTAGGAGATAAGAAACTGCAAATGTAACTTTTTCAGACAACACGTAGTTTGCCCTGTAGAAGCTGGTCACAGGATTTTGCCAGTCTTACAGAGGAGCAAGATTAAAAAGGATGAGGGAATTCAACCAGCAAGATTTTTACAAAGCTTAAAAAATACAAGCTCATTTTGGAAAGGACAAACCCTCATTTCAAACAAGAAAACACCAATTTCAGCAAGTGAGAACAAACTTCCTAGATCAGCCTGCTACAAGATCTCACACATCTCAAACATTTCATATAAAACTACTGGACTAGCTGGTTTACTGACCTAACTAGCTCAGTTCAATAATTGTTGTAGCCTCAGTCACATTAACAAACCTGACATTTCTGCAGCCAGTCATGGTTTTTCAAAACCATGAACTCATCTAAACATAATACACAGCATGTTGTAAAAGAAGGCGGAAAACATGGTATGTACGGCAAACTAAATATGTCTTATTCAAATATGCACATTTTTATAGGTTAAAGGTGACCTGCAAATCAATTTGTGAAACTTTTATCAACGTAAACAATACATATTATATCATATGCCCCATTAGCCAGGCTAAGAGAACAGGGGTATCTAGTTTATCCATCAAAACATCTTTCTTCTTAGGCCTTAAGAACTAAGAAGAAATACTAAGAGTGATACCCTTGAAATGCGCTGTGGAGTTTGTTTTCAAGTGGTACTTACCTGACCCCTCGTAGGCCGGCTCCAAGCTCCAGCAGGATCCCTGGGTGATGTGATATCACCAGCATGGTGCATGCGTGGGTGTTACATTGGAGCGGGAGCCGGAGGTCCTAGCGAGGCTGGACTTCACAGAACCTAAGAAAAAGAAATAGTAAGCATTTCGGTTATGTGCTGAATGCTGTTCTCTGCTTAGCCTGGAGAATGAGAGCATTCAGCACAAACACTGAACATTGTCAAATTGATTTGCAGACCACCTTTACGTAAGTGACTTTCTGATCATTTGCCACAGATCTCCCTGTCCTTTCACAGGAACAACATGCCTCAAGAGAAACATTTACAATGCTGTGAGAAGTGGGCTAGTCCCACCGTTCTTTGGCTGCACTGCCCCTACACATCGTGCCAGTGACCTTGCTTCAAGTCTTATAATCAAACCCCTCTATTTCTGCAAGCATCTCACCTCTTCTCTGATGCTAAATATTAACACATCTTGCATCAGGACTACACTATGTTTCCAAGCCTGTCATGATGAGAAACAGATGAGTGCAAAGCCTCTTGAAAGAGCGGGCTTGGGGAATTCTAGCCCCAAATTCTCTTCCCCTTCCAGGTAACCTGGAGAAGAAAATGTATAGTTTTGTCCTTTTGTGTAAAAGGAGAGAGGTCCATCTTGGGATGCATCTGAGAGTTAAAGTCACTTAAATATCAAGAAGCTCAGTAACATTTGCATTTCTTCTTTTTGAAGTTTTACTATCAGAGAGCACAACAGGTCAGGTAATGCACCCCAAGAATTGATGAGCCAGAAACTGAGCAGCTGAAAGGGAAAATATACATTAGCCATTCAGGGCAGATTTTTTTTTTCCCGCCAAATTACTCTCCATTCAGCTTAAATTCCAAATGGAGTCCAATTCTCACCCCACTCTCCCCCACCCAAGATTCAGCATCTCCCACCACTTTAGTGGGCCATGAAAATTCACAATGCATGTCTAAAAATGTCCAAGGTGCCCTGCAAAAACCACAAAAAGCTGAACATGTCTTCCCTCATATTCCTACGGTGAAAACAGGGGAAAAAAAAAAAAACCAGCTTTTCCGACCACTGAAATCACCTAAAAAAAGTGCAAGCTCAATATTCTGTACATCCCACGTATTGCACATTTCACAAAAACTCATCAACGGTACAGTCTGGACAGTATCTGTGCCTGCAGACCGTGTCCTCTGTCAAGCAAATATAAGAAAAACAATAAAGCACATTCCAGCTACGCTACTACTACTGCAATGTATTGTGCGAGTTCCTGCTCAGTGACATTTACAACTGAAGCATTTAATGGAAATCGATATTCTGCTCAGTAACCAACCAATAGAGAGGCCTAAATCAAAAGTTGAGGCTTAACAGACATTGGTGTCAAAAGCAAGACAATAGTACGAAAGTACAAACTTTTTTTTTTTTTTAAAATCACATCCCTGCTGGGGCACAGATCTTCTACAGTATTAGATTCTTCCTTGAATTTCGAATTGAGACATGTGTCGCTAGCTGGCTAGCGCACAGTACTTTAAAATCAGAAGTCTGTCAAACTGACGGGGATATTGTTGTCATACGCAGACCCAGGTCTAGCTACTGCTTTCAGCAAAGCAAACCTGGAGAAATACTGCAAGAGACTGACCATTTATTTTTAAATTTTTCTTTCTTCCTTGCTTATAAATTAATTGCTACCTTGTCAGCCCAACTTAACGCTTTAGAAAGTCTTCTTAGAAGTTTATTTTGGGGCAATTTCCGATATAAATGTAGTGCAAGTAGACTTTTGATGGGTTAGCATGATTTATTGAATCTTTTTTAGGTTGTTATTTATTCCAGTTGTGAATTTTGGGTGAAAATACTGTCACTGTAAAACATTACACAGCTATACTTTCTAATAAAAGGCAGCTGTTCCCCTTCACTAATCAATACAAAGATAGTTTTCTTGCAGGAACAGAAGAGAGATACATTACTCAGCATAACTAGTGATACACCCCACAACTACATCACCAGCCAGCACAAGAGGATCTTTTCCAAACTGAACATTTTGTAGACTACGCACGCATACAGAGCCATCCTTCAAGTCATAAGCAGCAAGATTTTTCCTGTCACTTCTCTAAAGAATTGGTCTTAACTTAAAACCAAAAGAACAAAATGCTTTTTAGTGGGCACTCAAGTCGTCTTCATTGACTCTGAAGAAATAAAATGTTTCTCAACTATACACTATTTCAATTACATATTTTTAGTTTCAAGTGGAAGCAAGTTTGTTCTTTAAAGATGGAAGATTCTGAAAGACTTAAGATTTTTTTGAAATATTTTGTATTCCTCCATTTAATAAACAGCAAGATAATTGCCTGTAATCTAAGAAGGTAAGTAAGTTCAGGATACCAGAAACTCCTGAAGTTACCGGCAGCAGCAGCAATCTGAACATACAACTAGCAGGTTGCCACATTCTCCAGCCATGCATCACACAACATCTTCAGGAAGGCAGCAAGCCCTCACCTGACACGTTACTGTTGATAACTTCTGCCAGAAATGTAACAGCTTGAGGAACACTTGAGAAGTTTCTGTTTAATCCGTCCCTGCCCCACTCTTGAGCCGCTTCCAGGCGCACAGCAGGACAGCTGCCTGCAGAGCAACACGGCACTCCACGCCGGACAAGGGAACGGTTCTTTTAACACTGCCCTGTATCCTGACGCAGGTTATCGTCTAGTGCCACAGTTACATCAACCCAGCTAAGGTGCAGGAACGAATGCTGAGTGTTACTCAACCAGCACTTAGGATAAGCATAAGCTATGTTTTCATGCCAAAAACATGAAAAGCAGGAAGTTTTAGGAGCACTAAACCATTTAGGCTAGAAGGAACAAGTTAACCAGAGAACACAGGAGGAGTGAACGGGGCTGCTTCTGCTCTGGTTTTGGAAAACAGGCCCACAAAGAAAGCATGCACTGCAGTGCCTGGGTCCAGCCCCAAGGTGGGTAGCAATGGTAGATGCAACTTGGAGCAGCATTTTCTTCTCATCAAAAAGAGCAAGCAGGCAACCCAAGAGAAGTCCCAGCACTGAAGGAAAACATACAAGGGCCAGTGTGACAGCTAAAAGTGCCGGGGTGGGGTTCTGTGCAGGAGTTCTCTCCAGCAGGTATAAAATCATCCTTTCCACAAGGATCAGAAGGCAGAGATGCACCTCCATGGCTACAAGGACATTCCCCAATAAAAAACAACTTTTGAAGCCAACACGACAAAAATACTCAGATTACTTTGGAAGCTATGCACTTTTTTAGCAATGATGTACCAAGTCCAAACAGACAATATTACCCCTCCAAAGCAACTCAGATAATTCTCACAGTCTTAAACGTTAAGATTTAGAAAGCCAAAAAAAACTTATATAAGACAGTTTCAACTTACTGAAGAGTTTTAATTCACAGAGATCTCAAGGATTCCTCAGACCATGGGCTAAATACAAAGAAAAATTAAAAACATTTCCTGCAAGGAAAAACTGAAGAAAATCGTAATTTCTTAGAAAGATACTAGAAACAACACACGGAGTAACAAAAAAAAAATCATAAATGCCTTCAGCATATCCTTAATGTCGTCAGTTTGCAAGAGCCCAATGAACCAAAAGCCTAACACAGCTAGTCTTAAATCCAACTGAGTCCTTTCAGTGACAATTTTCAAAGTTTCTGCCAGTGCCACTACACTCTCACAGCTTGCTCACCTCATGCTGTACAAGCAAGTAACAGCAAAAGGGTAAAAATTCCTAAAGAATCACTCAAACCTGCAGTTCAGAAATCCCGAGTTGAAGACCCACCCTGATCGCTCCCCCTTGTATCGATCTTAACACTAAACTGATGTACTGTCAATCCCTCCTTTCACACCCGATTCAGCAGATACAAGACCTTAATAGATGGAAACAGAGAGGAATTTAAGAACCTTCACGCTACTATTACCATATCTTGAATGATTTAATTAAATCTTAGAATACCTAAGAGCAGACTTCTTATAACCAGACAAGGTAAGCAGATCGTCCATGATAAAACTAATTATGCATTTGCCTTTAAATAAAAAGTTTTGCTCTTTATGAACAAGTGTTTCTCTGTTGTGTTTTTGAGACAAGACTCCCTTTCAATAGAAGAATGCTGGTTTTCAGCTGTAGGTTAGAATATTACTTTACATATCTTACTCCTGGCAGTATCACCCATTAAAGGGAGTTCCTACAAGCAGCTTTCTCCTAATTCTTGCCCTGGTGCCTGGCTGCTTGCTCTTGCCCCACAGTGCTGAAAACATCTTAGAGGGTTTATGTGGAAAAACAGGGTTAGCATAACTTCCTCTTGCTACCTCTCCTCTTCCAGATCAGTTCACTCATTATGACTATGACTCACAGCATCACCTCATTTACAGTTGCACCTGCACATAAAGGGAAGTGGTGACTGCAAAGGAAAATATACATGGAGCTGCAGTTCAGCTAATGCTTCCCCTCCACCCCAGAGCAGAGCTAATTCAGACACAGTTGTTTTCTGTGGAGGAATATGCAACATGTTATGCCTGTAGGAAAGTGGGGTGTTTTTGTAATTACCATTGTAGCATCACGTGTCTTGTTTTTTCAGTGTTCTACTAGCTTTGGAGACAGACTTACTTACAATCTAACAATTTACAATACCCTCACAAAACAGATTTCACAGAAGCCAAACATCCTGCCTAGGCATCCGAACTGGCTGCACCTTTAGCTGCAATTGAAGAAAACAACAACATGCCAAGAATTTTCAGAAAAACTCAGACATTACATCTCAGCAATGAGGTCATGACCGACAGCATGACAGAGCAGCACCAAGCAGTATGTCACAGCATTCCATTCAGTGAAAGGTACACACTGCACCACAGTATATTAGTGCAGGACTTCACACTGGCACAATTTTATGGAAGTAACATCCTTGCACTGGAACATTCTCACATGAGGAAGACTGGACTTGTGATGAATGGCTGGATTTGACCTCACAAGCCCCAGGTTCAGTTGCGAGCCTCAAAGTCCATTTCGCACTTCATGTGCAATGTTTTTCATTTTCCAGCTGCAATAGAGGAAAGCTACTTTTGCTCTCCTCACCAGATTTCACAGATGACTGGAGACATCTCATCCACCACACATATGTAAAACATCAAGCGCAACCAAATCCTCAGCTTCACAGTTAACACACAAATAGTGTAAGCACCAGTCAAGAGCCTATCAAGAACCTCCAGTCACGGTTAGCTGGGTGCTATAACAACTACGTTGAGTGTTAGGAGAGGCAGAGTACAACAGCTTAGACTTCATGCTATCCTAATAACAGCTCCAAGGCTTTTGGCTGATTTGGAGCGTAAGAACAGTAAGCTTACACTTGCCTAAAAATGCCAGTGAAAGTGTAACTGTAATCCAGACATAGATTACCATATCTGAAATAGGCTTGTAGAAAGCTCCAAACTGCAGAACACAGGTCAAACAAATTTCATTATTACCCAGGACGATGACTTCCTTTGTGTTTGGAAAACACCTACTAAACACTGCACATGCTGATCTGCTGCTAGCAGTAATGCAGCACTTCTCCTAAGTCATGCAAAAGGTCTACAGGAAGACTTAGGCTGGGGGCGGGGGGGCCTGAAACCAAAGTGAATGTTTTGTAATATTCTTTGCATCATGGCATCTTCCCACTTTACTCACACAAAGATGTCGTCTTTTGGCATGATATGATTTAAACCTTCATCCATTTGGAAGATTTTGTGGAATCGATGATTATACACATCTGTCACCACCATCTAGAACAGCAAGAGATATTTGCAAAGAGATTATAATAAAAGCTTACATAAATTTAGGCAAACTAACTCTAAATTCAAGCAACAGTTTATTTCTATTCTTTCTTTATCAGAATTTTCAGTACACCAACATCAGCGCTGTTTTCTATAACAGCACCCAGCAGCTAATCAGCTGTATTTGTTAAGATGGATCAGAAAAACAAAGCAAGTAACAGACTGATTTTACAGAGGTACTGAGGAGATGCAATTCCAACAGCTGCAAGTCAGCCTGGTGGAAACAACAGCACAGATCCCAACATCAAAGTGGCAACAGGCTAGGATTTCAGGCATGGATCACTCACATCTATAATTAACTGAAATAAATTTAAGTGCTACACTGGCATCCTGAAAATACCCCACCAACTACAAAACCATTCCCTCTGGAAAAGCTCACTTGATCCCTTTGTTATTAAAAGGATGTCCAAGAAGATGTGGACCCAAAACAGACATTGAACGTCTCTCAGTTCTAAGAAACTACACTATCAAATGTTGGGGGTGGGGGCCAGCTTTCTGCCCCTTCTCTTAAACCTCTCTATTGCAATGGAAGTATCAGAATAAACACAGATTGTTTCATGCATTTTTTTATTTTACAATCAAAGCATTCAAACTTGTTAGGGTTTTGTCACTATTCCATTAAGTTCAGTTTATCACCCATCTAAAAGCTAAGTCACCAAAATGCTTCAAGAAAACCAAACATTTATCAAAATTACTGTGCTGCATTTATCCTTACATTTTCTGCAGGAACACCAGAGAGTTTGGAGAGTGATTCACACAGATCCGAGATGGCCCCCATCATCGGCACCACAAGCCGGTACTAGAAACAAAGATAATGTCACGCTTACACCAGGCAAAACAAACCCATGCAAGGCAGAGAGCAAGAAAATGGAAATAAAACCTTTAATTTACAGGAGTTCTGCTGATGTGAAGGTCACAGCTACACACTTCAAAGTCTTCTGGATCTCAGCCCTACCTTACAACGCAGGGATTTGGAGGGAATGAAAGAGCCTTAAACAGTTGGCCTTCTGTTTTGATCAGGCTCAGCAGTAATAAAACGCACCAAAAAAACAAAAAAAATCACCAGACACAGCAGCTTGCTCAGAATATAAAATTGCTGGTTTTTTATGTGATTAAAAACATCCTAGAACCATGCTCCCCAGTGCCTCTGGAGGTCCAGTCAGAAGTCTTGACAGACAGGAAAGCAAATGTGTACATGGACTGCATACAAGGATGGACCCTCCTGAGCAGATCAAACCACTTAAACCTTCATTTGATGGGCAATGTCATCAACACAAGCTTTAGTTTCCTTCTTTTAAGAGTTCTTTCTGGACATGCCCTCAGACTGAAACAAATCCCCAGAGCTCACCCAGAATAGGACACACCATGTATTACGCTGCACTGGGGCTGGCTGGGAGGGAGTTACTTTCCCTATGGCACCCTGTATGGTGCCACATTTTGGATTTGTGGCTAAAACAGTGTTGATATCACACTGATGTTCTAGTCATTGCTGAGCAGTGCTTGTGCAGCGTCATCTCATCCACCACACGTATGTAAAACATCAAGCGCAACCAAATCCTCAGCTTCGCTGAAGTCCCTCACAACCACAGTTAACACACAAATAGTGTAAATGTCAAGGCTTTCTCTTTGTCCCCACTATGCCCCATCAGCAGGTAGGCTGGGGGTGGGCAAGAAGTTGGAAGGGGACGCAGCCAGGACAGCTGTCCTGAACTACCCAAGGGCTATTCTGTACTATATAATGTAACGCTCAGCAATAAAAATTATGGTAGAAAAAGAAAGGGTGTTTTTGGCTTCCAAGGTAACTGCTCAGACACTGACTGGGCACTGGTCTGTTCGTGGGAAGCGGCAAGTGACCTCCTTTGCGTCTTTTGTGTCATTGTCCCCACCTCCCCACTTTTCCTTCACCTATTAAACCATCTTTATCTCAACCCATGGGTTTTCTTGCTTTTGTTCTTTCTAGTCTCTCCTCATTCCTGCTGGGAAGAGGGCAGGGGGGAGTGAGCAAGAGGCTGTGTGGGTGCTTGGCTGCTGGCCTGCATCAATGCACCACTTACATTAAGCTACAAAAATATGAGGGGCACAGTCAAGAAACCTCTCACACTCCTAAGCAGAAACATCTTGTAAGTCAGTGGGAACGTTCTACCTCAGATGCTAAACACATGATAATCCACTGGTTCCATCCCCAGTGCTCTGAACACTTCCCTGAAGACAGATCTGTGAGCTTTTAACATGGCTAAGTGATGTTCTGCAACCAGGAATGTGCATGGATGCAAGAATATGGGTGCACCAGAACACAAGCATCTACAGTTTGGTTTAATCTAGCATCCTTCCTCCATCAAGTTATCAGTACCATATGCTTTAGAGAAGGACTCAAAGGCACTGTATGTTATAGGTAGGCACACACTCAGAGAGAATTATGTGGAACATACCTGCCTTGACTAAAAGGAGTTATGTATCAATATTCACCAGGATCTTCTCAGTTATCCTATCAATCTGCATCTTCCACTGTAGCCATCAGAGACTTTCAGTTCACTTTCTCTTAGCACAACCCACACAGCAGAGACACAATTCCTCCCTGTGTCACACACACCAGAGGGGAACAGTGGTCCACACCTCTGGCTTCCCAACCCGGAGATCACAAAATGCAAAGAATTGCTCCCAGGAAGACTGAAGGTGGGATGTAGAATATGCACATGGCCAACTCATCTAGAAGAGCTCCAGGTAGCGGAAGTTCTGTTAATCTTGATTCTTTAAAGTAGAAGAACTTATCCTTTAAATCTCTATGCTATTGGTAATCTTGCTTGTTTTCTCAATTAATCCTTTCTCTGTTCTTGCCCTTCATAAAGTCTTGGTGACAAGAACAAGTGTAGCTGTCCTTGATTTCACAGTTGTACAAAAAGCAGGATGAAAATTTATTGTGAATTCAGCATACATCCTTCTCCACTGTACCTACCACCCCCCTCAAACTAACAGCGTACATACAAAGCACAAGTTTTACCATCTGCAGTTATAATCCACAGCACATGCAAATATTGCTAATCAGTGCCTCCAAAACTGCATCAGGGCATCTATCACCCCGCCTGGGCCTCCCAGATCTTGTCTTCTCTTGACATGCGTGGCAAGCACAAGGTTACTTTAGGTATGTGTGTGCCCACCCACAGGCCCATTTGAAAATAAAGTGGGAGGAAAAAAACTAAAAATCAAGTCTATCTTAGAATCGAGCAGGCTTTAAAAGCAATCAAGTAATTTTTCGTTTTTTTTCAAGAGGGATTGTTTTTCATTTCTGTTTGAAATTCAGAGGCCTTACCCATTTAGGTAAGTTTCACCTTCACATTTTCCAAGGCAACATGAGGTACACATGACAACGCAAACACATTACTGCTTTCAGGGAACACATTACACAGGTAATCTCATCACAGGAACAGGTAAGCCACTTCCAGCTAACCCATGACCCTCGTCTCACGAACCAAGATTTTTACAAAGCCACTTGATTTCACATGTTCAATTCCCAGTTTTCACATTAAAAAACCACATCCTACTTCACTCAAAGGTGGACATCAATGTCCTTTAGATTACTTGAAAAGTCTCAACTTTATAAACCTAAAGACAGACTCAGATGACTTAAAGAAATTTGTGCCTTCAACATGCCTCACCTGGACAGGTCTATGCTGGGGGTCTGCATATACCAGGGTAACTTCCATGAGACGATCTCTCCTCAAGGGCAGTGGAAGGGTTAAGTAACAGAAGGGATCAAAGGTCACAGAAACTTTGGAGCATTTGGGACAAACAAGGGTAGATTTGAAAAGACCATGAAAAATATCCACAATGATAGAATCATTCCTCAGCCTATGATTCTCCCAGGCTTCTTTTGCCACCTCCTATAAAAAGAAAAAAAAAAAAATTAAAAATTATTTCTCGCAAACGCTTCCATAGCATGGCAAGCATAGGGATCAAAGAAAACTCAGAAAATTGATACTGACGGGTAAATTTCACAGAAAGGGGGGGTCTACCAGTGTGTCTAGCATAACACACTGGGATTTATTCTCAGCAAACTAAGGTCTTGCGTCAAGTCAAATGTAACAGATCTATTTTAGCTGAGTCACTTGGTCAGGTATTCCTTGGTGCATACAATGCCAGAATGGAGCCGAGGGGACAGTGACAAGGTTACGTGCTGCTCTTCAGGACAGAAAGCTGCCAACAAGATACACTCCACCTTCCCCCATGAGGAATGGACTGCTGCCCCCCGCTTTTGAAAGACAACTGCAGTTACAGCTTCTGAGAAGCCTTTTTCTTCTTGGAAAATGATGGTTCATGTCTGGGCTGGTTTTGGCTGGGATAGAGTTAATTTTCTTCACAGTAGCTAGTACGGGGCTGTGTTTTGGATTTGTGCTGGAAATAGTGTTGATAACACAGGGATGTTTTCGTCACTGCTGAGCAGTGCTTACACACAGTCAAGGCCTTTTCTGCTCCGCACCCCACCCCACCAGCGAGCAGGCTGGGGGTGCACAAGAAGCTGGGAGGGGACACAGCCGGGACAGCTGACTCCAACTGACCAAAGGGATATTCCATACCATATGACATCATGCTCAGTATATAAAGCTGGGGGAAGAAGAAGAAAGGGAGGGACGTTTCGGAGTGATGGCATTTGTCTTCCCAAGTAACTGTTACGCGTGATGGAGCCCTGCTTTCCTGGAGATGGTGAACACCTGCCTGCCGATGGGAAGTAGGGAATGAATTCCTTGCTTTGCTTTGCTTGCGTGCGCAGTTTTTGCGTTACCTATTAAACTGTCTTTATCTCAACCCACGAGTTTTCTCACTTTTACC